GTAGTTACTGCTCAGTAGGCTTTGTTATGCTTTCGCTTCCTTTACTTCTTTTGGAACGCTTTGGACTGTTTTTTTTTTCTGGAGTCGAGGGTATATCGGAAACAACCTCTCTACTCATGACGTAGGGGTAAGGTCTACGTACACTTTACCCTCCCTAGACTCCACTTTGTGGTACTACACTAGGTATGTTCATGGGTATGTTTCTATTTGCGTTCTTTCGGCTATTTTGAGTTGTTTATAGAATTTCTTTTATGATCAATTCATGGGTATGTTTCTTTTTGCATCATTTTAAACATGTTTTGGGTTGTTTTCTGAGTTCCCCTTTTATGGTTATTTTGAGCAGCAAAGTGAACTAGTTAGGATTGAGTGAGAGATGCTATGATTTAGTTAATTGGAGCATTCGGGCATGTTTAGCAGAATCTCTGTTTGTGATCCCTTTGGTTAGTAGTTCTCAAGTTCCATTCAAGTTCTAGTACAAAAGGGTAAAGAATTCAAGGGTGTATTTTGTTTTTAGGCAGCAAGTGTCACTGGAATCACTGTTGTTGACTTGAAACCGTATCTATAGTTGAACAATGTTAAAGAAATATTCCCTCTGTTTCAATTTGTTTGTCCTACATTCCTTTTTAGTCCGTTTCAAAAAGAATGTATCTTTCCTTTTTTTTTACAACTCTTTGATTCCAACTTTCCACTTGGCATGTTTACAAGATTAAAGGACATTTTGATACATTTGACATATCCTTAATCTAAGACCACAAGATTCATAAGTATTCTTTACTTTCTTTAACTCCATGCCAAGTCAAAACAGGACAAACAGATTGAAACGGAGGGAGTATATGTTTATACTAAACTTCACTGCCACTGATGTAGATTGGGTGGAGCTTAAAGCAAACAGAAAGGATAGGGGAATATGTAGTATTGATGATCAAAAATCTAGAATGCAGACCCAAGCATTAGGGGCTTGAATCTTTGCTATAATCAATTAAATTGTCCGATCTCAAGAAGAGTGAGAGAAGTAGTAATAATAGAACCCAGGTAAGAATTCAATACCAAATTGATGCAAGCAAGTAATGAAGATTCGTGCTTAGACTTGACTATAGCATCGAAGAAAGTATTGACCAGATGAACACATCTGGAGTGATGTGTTCACCTCAATTGTTCAGCTGTTGCTTAAAAAGATTTCCAGTTGTGAAAATACCTGCACTGGTTACATTAGCATCTCAAGCTTCTCTTCGTGATGACTATGAAATGCTTTTGATTAGATAGGATAATATCCACTTGGGATGCGATGGGTATCTAAGCGAGCTGTTCTTCATTTGTTTTTTCTTCAAATTTTGAGCCTGTAACAAGTTAATTACTTCAAACATCGTTCCAAGCTAATCTTCCATGAGTTCATAGGCCTAAATTAGCATTCTTTGGCTCCAAGCTCTCTTGTATTAAGACCTCCGCATGGAAACGTTCTGCTTCTCTGAAGTTTGCATCAGCCGCATAATAGTAGTGGGTCCAGCAGTAATTTGCACCTGTTGATAAAATTAACCTGGTTTAGAGATTTCTTAAAGAAAAAAATTATATATTTCTAGATGCGAACGTCTTAAAGACGGTCATGTTGTGTGTCAAGCTCGTCAAGGGAACGTAGAGAGTTGCTGGAATGTGCATCTCTTCAACTAAAACTGAACATACAGATTCTCTGATTGGAGAAATGACCCTTAAGGAGAAGATCTTATGAATGCTGGCTTAGAGAGTGTTAATGAGACAATTTAGCAAGAGAGGAACCGAAAAAAAAAATACATTAGGACATCTAGTTTAATGGATCAGAATCATGCCCAAGGGCTGACGAATCCATTGAAGATTTTTTGTGATTCTGCTCGTGAAGTTCATTTATTCACCTTATTAAGAGTTGGTGATTCTCTGAAGCTGCTACGCAATGCACTTCTTCAAGCAAGGTGTGACGCAGGAATTGTTAAAGAGATATTGAAATCATCTTTCTCCAGCATGGCATATGATAGTATAGAACATGAAAGAGTATATGTTTCCGACACCACCAGTTGTCTAAATATTATTTCCACACTGCTGGTACTGTGTAAACCATGTTGCCCGGATTCTTCAAAAATGTCAATGGGTGCGTGTCGGATTCTCCAAAAGTAGTGTGTTTTGGAGAATCCGACACGGATGCGGCACCGAAAGTGAAGAGTCCCCGCAACTTATTGTAAAGCCCGCCCCCTCCAATTTTTTCTGTTTGATTTGATTACACAGGGTAAAACAGAGAAAAACTAGGGGAACATATATTGTTTTTGTTTCCCTAATACTGCTAAAATATCATATTGGAGAGATTTGCATACAAGATGGAGGGAGTTCTATTCTTAACGGAGACTAATATGTTTGTTTCTCAGCTTTTTCTTGTTGTCCACCTTTTCTGCACCCCTTTTGTCTTTTGGTGTGTCTCTTTTGTGAGGGATTGCTATGGACACTAGCCGCATGCTCATGACATAGAGAACTCTCTTGAAAGGCCTGCGTGATTGCAGTATATTTGGCCTGTAATTAGCTCGGCTTAAGGTAGTGAAGTAAGCCATTAGCTCAAATTCCACATCTAAATCTTTAGCTCGGCTAAGGAATCAAGCACCCAATCCCCCGTAATCTCTTGATATTTGAGGTTGTTGGGACAGATATCTAGCTTTAGTGGAGTTATCTGGCAAGTATAGGCAGATAAATGAAGGGCATAAAAAAACACCTGTACACAAGAAGTGTACTAAATGTAGAAACCTTACAAAAAGATGTATTTTTCTACAGAAGTCGCCCAATCTCCTATTCTAGTAGGAATCTCGTGGGTGCATCTTTGTTTGGATCCGCGCATATGTGGAAGTCTTATTATCTGAGTAGAGAGTTGCCTAAAGATGGAAGTTATAGTGATGTACAGTTATTCACTGATTTTCTCTGTATACCTTGCAATAATGATCAACTGTCACTCCACCCATGACTAAATCAGCCCAGTCTGAGTGCTGGAAATGTTCTTACCTTTTTGTTTGTATGCTCATACATGCAGGGTATATGATGCTTTAGGAATAGTATTAACCTTCACAGTTCACCCTGCAAGGTGTTCATTGTATGATGACATTTTGTGGTTATTTGAGCTGTAGGCTCTGTTACACGAATTCTTCTTCTTCTCTTTTTGCGTTGGCGTACCGTGTCGAACGGATGAGATGAGGGTGTGGATACTGCGTGCAGATTCTTCAATATTAGACCAAGAATTAGCAAAATTGTGGCACACCGATGCCACCAATACCCGTACCCAATGTGAGCCTGTAAACAAATTTGCGTAACATAGATTGTAGTGTCACACGTTGATGTATTCTAACACTAGTGTCTCTGCTGAACCGCAAAATGTTCCCTCCCTCCACCATAAATTTGCATTAGATCGAAAGGCGCTCAAGCACCAGCCATAGGGAGTATGAGGAACGGATCTTCCAGTTCTGGATAAATAGTTGTGCTCTTTATTGTAGATCCTTAAATGTTCCAGATGTGATATATGTTATCCTTTGTAAATAAATGATCTAATGATGACACACTGCCTTGACATTTATTACATGCATAATTAAGTAGATATGGCTGGTAGAATTCAGATCCCATGGTTTAATCATCATCTGTTTGAAGCAAATTTCTGCATAACGGGGTTCAAATGCTTTTAATTTCTTGCAGGATTCTCTCTATTCCTTGGACTGATGATCGACAGGCTACACCATTACATAAGGGAGCTTCGATTACTAAGGAGGACCATGGAGGCTGTGAAGAAGCAGGATCGCACATTGGACAACATCAAGAATGGCGAGGCCAGTACCTTAAGGGATGAAATCTCCTCCTTGAGGAACAAGATGAAGCAGCTGGAATCAGAATCCGAGGCAAAAGAAGAGGAAGTGCAATCTCAGAGAGCAAATTCTGATTCTCTCAAGGGTCAATCTGAAAAATTGCTGCTTGAATACGATCGGATCCTGGAAGAGAATCAGAATCTTCGAAGCCAATTGCAATCAGTTGACCAAACCGTGTCACATTCTGATAACAAAAAGAACACATAGGAAGGATACCATACATATGTTTTCTGTCCATCAACTCTAATAGTTGTCTTGAGAATTTTGGTTCAAGAAGTGTGTTGTGTAAGCATGCCTTTGTCATCTTTGATAGATTCTTGTAAAATGGTATCTATATTTTATAATCTTCGATATCATTCACTGTGCTTGAAGCTGTGTTTGTGTTCTTGGAAAGTGATCATGTATCCAGGTTACACTTTTGTGGGAAGTTTTAAGTGGACATTCTGTTGAAATGATCGATAGTTGTCGACCATGGTAAATTGATGTGGTTTGGTTTGAACACCGAGTGTGAGTAAATTTTTTGAGAGTTCTGCAAACATTGCGATGTCAACGACGTTGCAATGTATGATATCTTTTATAACAATATTATCTCCAACAATGGTCTATAACTTTACTTTGTGCTAAGGTTCTAATCACATGTCCAAAATTCATTGACATACATTTCAAAAATATGAGGTGAAAGTTAGTCTTCTATGCATAATAATAATAATAATAATAATCTCTCTCTATATATAATGAATTTATTAATATAAAAAAAAAAACAAAATTGCTTGGAAATATATTTTTTTTTAATTATTTCAGTACTCTTTTCTTTTTCACCTTGTTTTTATTACTCCTATACTCCACACCCCTGCAAAAAAATGCACGATGAGATCTACGTAAAAAAGGTTCGTAATTTCTTCACCAATTAATTTAGTTTTCATGAAATCATTAGTGAAAAAATTGCATGAATTATTTTTTTGTTTACTCATCAAAGATCATATTTTTATTTTATTTTTGTGATTGAATGATCAAATAATATCAATCTACATTGTCATATTACTATTTTAATTTCTGTGTTTGACGTATTTTTTTCATGAAATTTCAGTTATATGCTCAGTGAAGTAGAGATTGATTTACAAAAATCATCTTTGAAGGAAAAAAATGTCTAGTTTTGTTGGTGTTGTTGTTTCTGATCAATGGCTACAGAGTCAATTCACTCAAGTCGAGCTGCGTGGCCTCAATTCCAACGTACGTTAACCTTTCTATGCTTTTCCTTGTTATAATTGAGTACGAGTGCAAGCACCAAGGGTGTGACCTAGTGGTCAATCGAGTGGATTGAGAACCACGAGGTCTCAAATGTTCAAATCACAACAATGACAAAAAACACTAGGTGATTTCTTTCCATACGTCCTATCCTTGGTGGACAAAGTTATTGTTATAGATATATAATTCATATAGTCGACCTTAATTAGTATGGAATTTACGCCTACCTAAAATTGTTGTTAGTGTTATTTAAGATATATTTGAGTAAAGAGAATGTATCTTGTTAATAGAGTATTATGTGAAGAATGTTTCTCCTAATAAACGAGTCAGGGTTGGCTACATGAATTCTCACTGATCATATCGCTCTATTAAAGCTCATCTTGGACAACATTATACACTTTTAGTTGGAGTGTGTATTCGACTTATCCGGACAACTTTAGGGTGCATTTGATGTTATTTGCCTATTTTCTACTGGCATATAAGTTTGTTTCTCATTTTGACATGCTACATTTAATTTGTTACAGTTCCTATCTGCAAGGAATCACTCCGGGAAGGTCACTTTGGAAGATCTACCGCCTGTGTTGTGCAAACTTAAGGCCTTCCAAGGTACACTAAATGAGGATGATATAAAGGCAATATTCAGCGAGTCATCGTCTGATATGAGTGAAGAAATTGATTTTGAATCGTTCCTTCGGGTGAGTGTGAGATGATTTCATCGTATACTTGTTTCTTCAACTTTTACTACAAATATCGTTTGGTGCCTCGAAAGAATGAACAACTTTGGCTTTGAAGAAGAGTTGAATAGATAAACTTAAAATGTCATGTTTAGTTTGAGTTCTGGTTTTGTGAAGTTACTCTGATATGTATGCCTAGATGCTAGCTTTCATTTCCCTTGCATCATTATTGCGAGTCTTTTAGTTTTGTGGGGAAATGAATGAAACATGGATCTTAGGTGAAAGTCTTGGACGTAGTTTAATGATGATCTTCAAATAGAGATTATTAGTCTTTTGAATTGAGTAAGGGTCGCGAGCTTAAGATGCACTCCTCTGTATCTCTTCTTGGTTATCCTTCTTGGTTTAAAGGTGGAGGAAGAGAAATTACCATAAGTTGTGTGTTTTGTTGGTTAGGCATATCTAAATCTACAAGCACGAGCTACAGCGAAAGGTGATTCAAAGACCAGCTCCTCTTTCCTCAAGGCAACTACAACCACACTCCGACACACCATTAGTGAATCTGAAAGGGGCTCATATGTAGCTCACATCAACAGCTTTCTCAGAGACGATCCGTTTTTGAAGGATTTCCTTCCGATAGATCCATCTACCAATCAACTCTTTGATCTTGCCAAAGATGGTGTACTTCTTTGGTAAGTGTTAACCATACATTTCTGATTACATTCTTGGACATTCATGTTTCTACTCGATCATTTGTTGCAGTAAGCTCATAAATATTGCTGTCTCCGGAACAATAGATGAACGTGCTATCAATACCAAAAAGGTTCTTAATCCATGGGAAAGAAATGAGAACCACACCCTTTGCCTCAATTCCGCGAAGGCCATTGGTTGTACTGTGGTCAATATTGGCACACAGGATTTAATCGAAGCAAGAGTATGTGAAGTCCATGTGTTTCATATGTAACATATTACTATCAATACGAAAGATGCTGAAGTTTCTTTTGTTTTGCTTATTCTCTAAGCCTCATCTGGTTGTCGGGTTGATTTCTCAAATTATCAAGGTATTTACTATTTCTACTATACTTTGTCCATGTGCTTGTTAGATACCTTGGAATTTCACCAATTCTTTTCTACTATCGTTGTCGTGGCAAACCAGATACAACTATTATCTGATCTCAATCTGAGAAAAACTCCACAACTTGTGGAATTGGTGGAAGATAGTCAGGTTTGCAATACTTTTCGTGTTTTACCTCTTTGGTTCTTCTGTCAAAAGTTGTTTGCAATTTAATGTTCGTGCTAGATTACGTAATAGCAGTAATATTTGCAGGAAGTAGAGGAGCTTATGAGTTTATCTCCAGAAAAAGTTTTACTGAAATGGATGAATTTCCATCTTAAAAAAGCAGGCTACAAAAAAGAGGTTACAAATTTCTCAAGTGACTTGAAGGTAAGAAATTTGTGTCTGTTGTTATGAAAATTACGTTTGAAGGAATTCGATAATTCCCTATGGATATATGTCATTTTTTGAAGAATTTTGTGTCTGTTTTTGCTCTCTATATTTGGTTGTAGGACGGAGAAGCTTATGCTCATTTGCTCAATACTCTCGCGCCTGAACATGGTACGACTAACACATTAGATACAGAAGATCCAACTGAAAGAGCAAACTTGATTCTTGAGCAAGCAGAAAAACTAGATTGCCAAAGATATGTAACTCCAAAGGACATTGTTGAAGGCTCAGCAAACTTAAATCTTGCATTCGTTGCACAAATATTTCAACACAGGTTAGATTAAGCATTTCATCCGATAACCTGAAAATTGTTCTATCTTTGAGTAACCAGTCAGAGTTGTTATTTTGTCTACATTCTCCGTCTATAAGTGAGTTTTACTCTGGTACAGGAATGGATTGACAGCAGATACCACAAAGTTGTCTTTTGCTGTGATGATGGAGGATGATGCTCAAACTTCTCGAGAAGAAAGATGCTTTCGGTTGTGGATTAACAGTCTTGGAACTGATACTTATGTGAATAATTTATTTGAGGACGTGAGAACCGGGTGAGTTATTTCTTGTTGCCTTCTTGGTTGATGTACTTTGGACTCTACAAATGTTGCTTGGCGTTCGTATTATGCAGGTGGGTTCTTTTAGAGGTACTAGACAAAATTTCACAAGGATTAGTTAATTGGAAACAAGCAACAAAGCCTCCAATTAAGATGCCATTTCGAAAAGTTGAGAATTGCAACCAAGTCATAAGTATTGGGAAAGAACTGAATTTCTCCCTTGTAAATGTAGCTGGAAGTGATATTGTACAAGGAAACAAGAAGCTCATACTAGGTAATATGATCTAAAGTTACCTAAAGTAAACTTCCCTATTTCATGCTTTTGTATGTTAGTTTCTGTTCTGTTACTATCTTTTTGTTATTATCTGTTGTTTCTTGTACTTCCATTGCTTCTTTTTTTGAACTGCTTTGGACTGTTTTTTCTTGAGACGAGGGTCTATTGCTTGATCAAAGCTATCTTATTTACGCATTTCACATGTTCCCACGGATTACACAAAACGTTTGAGTTCCAATCTGTACAACAGGTCAAAGAGAGGGTGCTGATACTGAGTTTTGGATACATCAAAAAAGCAATCTAATCACTTTTTTGAGCTAGTTGCATATTCAGGTTTTGATTTGGTTTGTTGTTGTTCTTGAAAGCATGCTCAGCCTGATTAGTACATGTTAGTTTGTGTTACGTACAATGAGCATCCGATAAAAACTTAACTTCTGTTGAATACATGCAAATTAACACTTTTTCTTTCTCGTAAGGACGATAGTCTACACTCTACACCATAAGCATGGAACAATGTACCTCAAAAGTTCAGTTATGCATAGTTTTATGATTTGAATTGTTAAAATCATTTTGTTGTCTTGCAGCTTTTTTGTGGCAGTTAATGAGGTTTTCAATGCTCCAACTGTTGATAAACTTGAAATTTCATGCCCTTGGAAAGGAAATAACAGATGCTGACATACTAAATTGGGCAAACAGTAAAGTGAAGAATGCAGGGAGAAAATCTCAAATTGAAAGCTTTAAGGTGATGAACAAAACTTTGAACCCTGCTATCATCAGTTTATATTGCATGACACCTGAGTTATATTGTTTTGTTAGGACAAAAATATATCGAGTGGGAAATTCTTTCTCGAGCTTCTAAGCGCTGTGGAACCAAGGGTTGTCAATTGGAGCCTTGTGACCAGGGGTAAAACTGGTACGCGAAGAGTTCGTAGACTCTTGAACCCACCCCAGTAAAAATGCTTTTGTCTTATTGAAAAACTGAGAAGCAAAGACTTCCTTATCATTTTTGGGATGAGTTAAGAAAGGCATAATACATAAACAGACGCAAACTTGGCCTCAGCTGACAAGTAAACACTCCAACTTTGAGTATGCATAGCTAGACACCTCAACTCATTTGAACACTCCAACTTATTATTTATGTGTCATATCAGCATTGGGTGTCCATGAGACACAGTGCGGACAAGTTGGAGTGTTTAGTGGTTAGTTGAGACCAATTTGAGGTGTCTAGATATGTACTCGAAAAGTTAGAGTGCTTGTTCGCCAATTGAGGCTAAGTGTGAGTGTCTGTCTATGTATTACGTCGCTAAGAAAAGTTTGAACAATTATCTTTTGCTTTGGCTTTCAAGAAAGTACTGATGTCTCTGAATACATTGCAGATGAGGATAAGAAGCTTAATGCAACTTATACAATCAGTGTAGCACGTAAACTCGGGTGCTCCATCTTTTTATTGCCAGAGGATATAATAGAGGTAAGAGATTAGATTGAAGAAACTGCGCGCTTATGCTTGCCTTCAGACTGGATGTGATACCTTTTTATATATGCAGTATAATACAGAGTTTATATTCCTAGCTAGGGGCTGATAAGCTGAATAGAGTCTTTGAGCTGAGGATCTATAGGAAATAACCTCTCTACCTTCTCAAGGTAGGGGTAAGGTCTACGGACACTCTACCCTCCTCAGACACCACTAGTGGGATTACACTGGATTTGTTGTTGTTGAAGAACTAGCATTTCATATCAAGAAAGATATGTTTGCAAGTCTTCGAATGGACTTAGGAGCTCGTTGATGCAGCTAAAAACTCGACTGTAGTCAAGCATTCCTATTAGTTCCATGTAATAGCAGAACCATTGCTTCTTTCCATCAACCCTTTTTCTTGAATATAAATCAACTTTTACCACTCAGGTGAACCAGAAGATGATGCTGACACTCACAGCAAGCATCATGTACTGGAGCTTGCAAACAAAGACTGAAGATTCAGAGTCCAACAATGCAGAAAACGCCGGTTTGGATGCATCTCCAGCAGCAGCCTCTGATGGTGACATTGCTTCCACAACTTCTGAAGTGGAAAAGGGGGTGCAAGAAGAAAGATAGAATTTGAAGAAAAAATATATATACAAAAAAATTTTCCAAGGTTTCTTTCTGATGTTGTCCTCAGTTTTGCTTTCAAGAGGACATGTCAAGTGAAGTTGGTTAATAGGGCAGTTCCTCTTCTTTTTTTTTCTTCTTATTTTCTAGTAACCATCTTGTATCCGGTCACTTGTCCAACTAATTCAGATTCTACCCGCGTAAAAGGCCTATTAAGGAGGGGGAGAGCTCCCTCTCTACCTTATTTGGGATTTTCTGGTAAAGGGTCGAGGGATTCTTTCCGTCCCACCACAACTCATGATAGTTACAGAGAGCGCAGTAGTTACTCAATGCATTCTTTTGAAGGGGAGTCTTGACGTAAGGTGATGAACAAAACTTTGAACCCTGTTATCATTAGTTACTCAATGAGTTTGAGCCGCGGAAACAGCCTCGTGCAGAAAAGTAGGGTAAGGTTGTGTGTAATAGACCCTTGTGGACTGTGGTCCAGCCTTTCTCCGGAACTCGCTCATAGTGAGAGCTTAGTGCACTGGGCTGCCATTTTACTTAAATGCATTCTATACTACACAAACCTAGTGAGGTTGAAAGCTGTGAAAAGTGAAGGCAAGTAATTGTACATCTTTAATACACAACTACTTTGTTCCCATGACCCAGTTTCAGTGGTTCACACTGCAATATAATGGAACAAATTCCTCTTGTTCTCCAATTTTATTATTTTTGTGTTTGGTAATAGGCAGTAAAATGGATCAAGTTCACTCTGTTCTGTATTTGCTGTGCCATATTAAAACTGTAATATTGCCTCAACTAGCAAGTAACTACTCCAACTTTGAATATACACATTTAGACACTTCAACTCATCTCCATTATGTTAGTTGAACACTCCAACTTACAAATAGACCATCTAAAAACCACCAAAATTTATGTGCCACATCGTATTCATGATACATAGTTGAATGAATTAAAGTGTTTACTTGACAATCGAGACTAAATTGAGGAATCTACATATGCACTCTCAAAAGTCAGAATGCTTAATTGCTAGCTAAGGCCAAATTTAAGTATATGTTTATATATTTATACCAGAAAAGAACTAAAAAAGTCTCGAAGGGCAGAATGACCATCCAACTCCCCTACAAGGGAGAGCGGACACTGCTCTCAGAGGTGTCTACATGTGCATTCTCAAAGAAATGGTGCTTTATGCTTCTCATAATATTTTTTATGAATATGATCATTCTCAAGGAGCCAAAATTTAAGTACTTAGTGACATTGTACCAGTAGCACAATCTACCATAATTCCATTCTTGAAAGTATGCAAAACTGGATAAGTTAACAAGGGGAAAGAATATAGGACTAGTATACAACAGTTCAAAATTTACACTTTTGAAGATCTACAAACATAAATAAACACAAGAGGACTCTCCAAGCTGTTGTTTAGCTCATTGCTTTATGAGCATAAGGGTTGTGATGTCCTACAAGGGCAGCATGCCCTGATAGAGATACAACATGTATATATATATATACTACAATTATAAGGTTTCCATCACAAAACTATTGTTCGTCACTCGCGTTTATGGAATTTAACCGCCTTAGTCTCTGGTCAAGCTCTGCCATGACCGCCGGTTCCTGCTTTTTCCTCTGTCTTGATATAGTAGTGGTTGTCATAAAACCAATTTGATCAAAAGCAACCTGAAAAAATATTGTCAAGAATATGGTTAATTTTTGTGGTTAAAACGACTGGTGTAAAATAGTGGTCTTAGACCTTGTATTGTATCAGAAAATTCAAATAGTGATTTTAGACCTTGTATTTGGATTAGAATAGATTTAAAGACGAAACAGAGTAACTTTTGCTTAGACCTTGTATTTGTATCAGAAAACTCATTATATGTGTATAAATACTTAATTGTGAACACTGAACCCAGTATCTAAGATGAGCTATGGGTTTGGTGGTAAGTTCAAAACTCATAAACTTCAAATTCTGGCTCCGCTAATTATAACACTATACTCCATTGGAAAAAGCCATTACATTTCTGGCTTAATCGTTAAGTAGGTACTTGAAGATATGAGAATAAATAGAACAGGAGTCTAGCGAGAACATATTACCGTCAACAAGTCATCAGGATCAAAAAGTTGATGTGTGCATCTCTGGATTATATGAATTACATCCCCAACATGATGAACCGTCAGCAACTCTTCTTCGTTCATCTAGTCATCGGCATATCGTAGGATAAGTCTTAGCATTTAGAATTTCAGTTCTAAGCAGATGAAGAACTCGAGAGGCAAGAAAAATAATGGAAGAAGTTATCATAAATCCTTATATTAGGAAGAATCTACCTTAAAAATTGCCAATGCCACATGAAATAGAAGATTTGCACCTTCGTTGAAAAGGACATCCCAGACCCGCAAGGTTGTCTGTAATGAAGTAACCGATGGAAGAATCATTAAACAATATTACACTGGTGTTTTCATATGAGAACATATAGTGCACGGTCTATTTCATAGCAACTCAGACCCACACAGAGAGGATAAAGAGACTAAATTTGTTGACCTCAGAAGGCAAGCTTTTGGCGAAAAGGCAGAGAAACCATTCGGTGCAAACAAGAGAAACATCGAACTCCAGTGCCTCCAAATGAGCGGCTATCCTGTACGTTTTCTCATCAGTATCAGAAAACAACAGAACTTGTAAGGAATCTATATTCACGCCAAGAGCAAACTTATGGAAGAGATTATAAGTACCTTGGACATTTTTTGGTTAATAGATCCTTGAACACTCTTTGTTCAACATGACATCCAGATAAGTTCTTATTATAACAGTCGGTGACTAACACATTCTCTAGAAGGACAGCAATCATCCAGAAAGCCTCTTCTTCGGTTTTCATCACCAGCAATAATAATGCTGCAACATAGTTTAATCCCTGCAAAACAATCAACTGGTTTAGACCAGATCGGCATATCAACTACTCCCTCCGTGCCAATTGAAGTGTCTTACTTACCTTTTTAATCTGTCTCAAAAAGCGTGTCTCTTTCTATATTTAATAAGTTTTCAAATTCCAACATTCTACATGACAAGTTTAGGACCACAAGATTTAAAGGACTATACACAATTAATTAAAGATCATAAAATTCAAAAGTTTTCCTTTATTTCTTAAACTCCATGCCCAATCAAACTAAGACATTATATTGGGACTGAGGGAGTATTGGTGAAGTAAAATGACCACTTGTTGATGTCGGTTCCCATATCACTTTCTCTAAGTCAATCACAACTGAAGCCAAATTTATGTGCAAAATGTTTCAAAATTGTTAGGAGTTGGATGCTGCATGCAGTTCGGTTTAGAACCTAAGGCAACTATGCTAAATATATTACTATTTGAACATCTGTTCCTTGAGATGTTGAATAAATCAATTACGAAACTAAACATCAACATGGACAAAAAGCAGAAAAGAAATTGGAATGAATAGTTTAGACTAATACGACCACACTTGATTGATAAGATACATGAATTTAAGGAAGTGTTAATCGCTCATCAACTGATTTCACTTCTATCGTAGCCGACTCTAACTGATTTGTGATTGAAGCATACTCATATAATTGGTTAATGATTTGACATGGCTTATTTTGCATATACCGTCGAGCATTTGTTATGTATCCCATATTTTATGTGAAAAGCACTACTTATGTCTAATTTAACAATGAAAAGAACAATACTAATATCTAACTTTTACGCAAAATGTCTACGTAATAACTAGGTCAAACAAAATGGGACAGGAGTAGTAGTATCCTTTCATGTTTTTTTTCCTTCACCAGTTTCACAAAGTTTTTCAAGTCTTGAACAATTTCTTTTTTCTTAATCTTTGTACAAAAGGAGAATGATGATTTATGTAATAAAATGCTATCAAGAGGTCATCGTATGATTCAACTTCAGAATAGAAAATGCATAATCCAAGAA